ACGGTCACGTGGACAGGCTGCTTGAACAATGTTTTGCGGACAGGAATGACCAAGGTAGAACACTTTGGTTTTAAATGAGAAGCTTTATGTTAAGAGAAAAGAAAACACTTCATTCCAACCATAAGAGTCGACCCCACCTCTGAAAAATAGGGTTTTAGTAATGTTCTGCACCGGAACGGCATCATAGAAAACGTCTGGACATCTGAAACAAATCCAAGTGATTCATAAAGCAAAATAATGGCCTCAAGCAAACATTTCTGCCAAGGAAGGTTATTGCTTTGAAACAGTTTGAGTAGAGTTTGGACCTTGAGCCGACAGAAATGTTGTGGAAAGACTTGAAGTGAGCAGTTTAAGTGAAGAAAATCACAAACACCTGAAAGTTTAACCGGTTCTACACAGAGGAATGGACATGGATTGGAATACATCTAAATCAATGTGCAGGACTGGTCAACGGTCAGCAGAAGAATTTAGTAACTATTTTTACTCTTGTAATATTTATATAACAAATCAGTTAAACTTGTCCGAAAACTGTTATTCAGTGAGGCCCCCGAGGAACTGTTTCAGGATTAAACCAGTTTCGCTGAGACCAAATTAGTCTTCTACCCAACATATTTCATAACTGGACTTTTGTTGCATGATACCAGTATAATAAAATTAAAAAGACGAACATATACAGGCAAAATTTAATCTAAACCTATATAGAAATTGATAACACAATACTTAGAGTTACTGGAATATGTAAGAACATATATACTGGGCTACGTCTCATAGATGTGATCACATTAGCTCTCATTCTCTGCTCTTTATTATAAATGACACCTCTAACTGAGACAAGCACAGTCCACTGCAATGCAGGGGCAGTTCCAGTAGTTCCAGTGAGCAAATCTATCAGCTTTCCCTTGCTGGGTGTTATTTGATATACTGCTTATTCTAATTCCTCGTGTTTCAGATCCATACGCCCCGAAGACCGAGAAGCAGGTCTCTTTCCAGCAGGCCTTCGTCCTGGTGATGAGGCACGGGCCATACCTCTCTCTGACCGCTGCATTCCTCTTCATCACTGTTGCCATTCAGGTAAATTTATTGGCAGAGCACTTCTCAGTCATGACACTCGGCCTTACAGTAAATGGAGACCTTACAGCGTGGGAGAACTGCTGGCGCTCGATGATGATTTGATCAGAGTAGAAGAGCACTTACTGAAAGCTCATCGTTTTTAAGCGTGTTGTGAGTCGCAGGGCTATTGGGAGTGATACCAGCAGTGTGTTCTTGCTTTTTGTTTATCACATGTGCGCGGATGCTCACTTTTCAACCTCACTTTAACGCTGTTTAAATGATTGCAAACTTGTCAAATTTTGCATCAGATCTGGTTCTCTGTGTTTCATATATCCTCTCATCTCAGAGGAGTTATCAGCTGTCTTCTGCGAAAGCCCCAGAGCGGGAATAAATCCCGGCAAAAACACTGTCAGCAGCTTCTCCAGTCACTTTATTTGGCACTCAGCATAGCAAGAGTGCACAGCTACAGTGCTGAATAGACAAGACTGAACATCTGAATGTGTCATCTCTGGTTTTTGCAGCTGATCCAGAGCAACTTTGTCCTCTTCTGCACTTATGCAGCCGACCTGAGGGATCATTTCCAGAATATTGTACTGACCATCCTGGTGAGTACAGCTTTTAGCACTGAAGATCTGCAACATTAACGTAACCAAATGTAACACCTTGTGCATTTTAACTACAATGTAATGTGGGGAGCTCGACTTCATTTCACATCATGTGCCACATAATCAATGTGAAGAACTTTTAACTTCAAATTTAATCCCTGAGACATCTTATTATAGAAAAAAAGCAATGATTCTTTGTTCTTGTACATGATGAAGAAATGCTGCTGTTGTAAATGAAAGAAATCTGTCAGCACAAGAGGCATAATTTGTAAAGAAAAATAAACATGTAAATTTACAATTTAATTCAATTTAATTCAGTTTTATTTACGTAGCTCCAAATCACAACAGCAGCTGCCTCAAGGAGGTTTTAATTGTAGGTAAAGAACCGACAGTGATACAGAGAAAACAACAGTCAAACAGTACCCATATGGGCAAGCACTTGGCGACAGTGGGAAGAAAAAACTCCCTTTTAACAGGAAGAAATCTCAGCAGAACCCTAATTGAATTTTATATCTATTACCTACTTTGGTGTAGTATGAACCACAGGAGGAAAAGCTGTAAAATGTGTGAAAACACTGTTGAAAATCCAAAATCTGTGTAAATCTGTGTCATTTACATTTCCAAAGCCGTCCAATGGGCCGGATTGAAGTGTTCGCGTTACTTGGTGTAAAGGATTATTATTTTTTCCAGTATTAGCACTACTTGTCATGTTATTTTAAATGTTGACCATCTTTCCTAATACTATTGTTTCTTTTGTAAGTTCTAAATTAACTTACAGACTAAGTCACTTTACGCTTTTGCACACATCTGCTCAGGTATCCGCAGTAATAAGCATTCCACTGTGGCAGTGGTTTCTGCAGAGATTTGGGAAGAAGACGGCAGCTTTTTGTGGCATCACCGTGAGTAAATTGGTTTTATTTTTGTAACATTCAGCTTTGACCATCAGACTTTTTGTTTGTGCCTTCTTGTGGATGAACTTTTAAAGTGTTTGTCTTGACCAAAGAAACAGTTTTAAGAAAGTTTGTTTTTTATGGATGTGTGTTTGTCTCTCCAGTGGATCCTGCCCTTCACACTGATGTTGGTGTTCATCCCTAACGTCATAGTGGCTTACGTTGTGGCCGTCTCCTCTGGACTCACTGTGGCTGCATCGCTCCTCCTGCCATGGTGAGACTCAACAGTTCAGATGAAACACGCTCGTCAACATAAATTAGGTGTAAATATTTGTGCTAAAATTTTAAAAGCCCTGTAGTGAACGGTCCCGTGAGCGTCCCTGCCATCTGCTAAGTAATATAAGTTTGGTTGCCCCGCCCCTTGTTATAAAGGATTAAATAAAACTGAAATCCCCTAAGCCGCTGATATTGTTTACCTAAATTCAACCCTGCTATATGTACGCTCTGCTGTTCATTTTAATCCCCTTTTGATTTGATGCAAAATGTCATTAGTCAAGCCATTCTGTCAGAGGGCCCTGAGCGCTCACCAAGGTCATGCCACGGTCATGAAATGATGTCATTTTTAAGAATTACAGGACCCGTCTACTATAAATCTTCCATACCATCACAGAGCCCCGGCAACGCCAGAGGTATCACTACATCTGTTTTCCAGTCGTTGCTAAGGCCCTCGCCTCTCCTCACTCATCTCTTTTCCCCTCCCTTTAAAAACCTCAATTACAGCCTCCTGAGGGGGGCCTGTTTATTTTGGAAGGGGCTGATTGTTTATCCTGTCCCGCCCGCTGCTCATCATCTAATCGTGTTATTAGCTCTGTAATTTTGGCCCACTGGTATATCAGAGCTCTGACCTCACATCGCTGCGCGCTGGCATCCTGACTGCACGTGTGAGATAACCTAAGTAATAGCACGAGGGAGGTCTCGGCGCGTATCAGCTTAAAGTTTTACCATGGCTCACTGTGATGTTGAACTTTTATGACAAACGACACATGCTCATTCAGCTCTGCACGCCTGTTTTTGTGCTTCAATCCAGGTCGATGCTGCCAGATGTGGTGGATGACTTCAGGTTGGCCAACCCCTACTGTAAAGGCCACGAAGCCATCTTTTACTCCTTCTATGTCTTCTTCACCAAATTTGCCTCTGGGATCTCCCTGGGAGTGTCCACCCTCTGCCTGGAGTAAGTCTGCATTACTGTTACACATGCATGATTAACTCAAGCGCTGCGCGATATTGTACGTCTGCACTTAGCATGTCATGATACCTCACCGAAATGCATTAACCCCTGGTGCGATGCATAATTCATCACACGAAAGGTGTCGAGTTTTGCTCATCTGCAGGGCTGCACAGTGCGGCCTGATGCTCATTTCCTCTCGCGCATTTTAACAGAGCCTCTCCGTCATTGCTTGTAGGTTTGCAGGATACGACACAGGCGCTTGCAAGCAGCCTCCCCCTGTGGTGTACACCCTGAAGCTGCTGATCGGCGCCGCCCCAGTGGCCTTCATCGTCACGGGCTTAATGATCCTGCTCCTCTATCCCATCACTGAAGATGTACGGCTTAGGAATAAAGTCTGCCTGGAGGAGCTAAGGTGAGAAAGAAACTTGTAACCTTTGACCTCTATACTGACATTTGAAGTGTATAGGAGAAAATTGACTGGACTCAAACGCTGTATTTGAAACCAGTGTCTCTGTGTCTCTCACATAGGAAACAAAGCATCGGCTCCAGAACAGTGGAAGATCCGAGTAACGTGTGACCTAAACGTCGAATGGAGTGAAGACGCGAAACCACGGATTCCAGTAATGCGTCTGGGAAGTTGCTCATTAGTGTACATTACACTGCTAAATAGATTTAATGTAAACATTTTTGTTTCATTTTCACATGTACTGTACAGTCATACTGGATATATATAAATATATGAGATTACTTAATTTATATAAATGAATGTATAGAGTTATTTGCTGTGTTTAGCTCTACAACACTGTTATTTATTTATAATATATGATTCCAAAAGGTTTGATGATATGAGATGAATAAATGTTGTAGAGAGTGCTTTTTGTAATGGTTGTTTTGGGGGATCTTTACCGAGGAGGTGGTGCGGTGGAAAATAACAGACGAAGAAGCACTACATATACAAATTTAATTTTCAGAAAGCTCCCCAAGCATTCCTTTCTTTGGACATTCAAAACAAACCACAGCGGTCCTAACAGCAGGGTATGACCATGAGAGAAAAGTTACTGTTGACTGTTGCCCCCTCTAGTGGTCACATGGGTTTTCCTGAACGTGTTAAAATTCTAGCAGGATGGAAAATCCTTTGGGTCTCTCGTAGACAGAACATTTGAGATGTTAAAGTGCTAAACTTGACATTTTAAGTGTAAAACCTGAATTTCATACATCTACTTCTGCTTCAAAAAAAAAAGACCATTAGCCTCCATTTGTTCATATAAGACGTCAGAACAATCAGAAACATGTCCCAAACATATCTAAAACGTACTCGCCGCTGTTGCTGGACTGCTAATCAGCACGTCCTGCTTCAGCAAAAACATGAACTGCACAGGTTTTGTTTTTTTAAAAGAAGAAAATGTAAACAATGCATGGAGTGCAATGAGCATCTCTTGTCAAACGGCTGTCATTTCAACACACACAAGAGTAATTTTGTCATACAGCTGCGGTCCATTTGACAGTCGAATACATCATGGTAACAGAGGGACATTGTTTTGTGAGTCCATATATTGAACTGTGCGTAAGGAGTGGCTACACGGAGGCCTCTGTGGTTGTGTTGGGGCTTTGGCTGGGGGCTGGACTGGATGGGCAAGAGTTCTCTGGACTCCCGGGAGTCCGCAGGGTTGATTTCCGCTTCCCGTTCCGCACCGTGAGCTCCTCCTTAGGCTTAAATGTCAGAGGGACAAAGCCATCTGCATCTGCCACAAGTACAACCCACAACGGTCCTGGAGAAAAACAAAAACAAAACGACAATTAGGACTTTTTGACTTAGTATGGTTTTCTAAATGTCAGTGTAGTTTAGAAACTGTAGTTTGTGCGACCTACATTTTGGTGGTCTCAGTTTAGGAAAGCCAGTCTTTGCTACAGCAGCAACAAAACACTATGCACATTAAATGGTAGTAAGCTGCTTTTGTTTAAGACCTTATAATCTGACTTAGGCTTTTAATCACTTCCAATTATAGCTCACGCACGCTATCGGAAGAACAATGCCACCACAAGCTGCCTGAAATTACAACTGACTGCAATAAATAAGGTTTCTTATAAAGTACAGAGCAATCTGAGGGGGATGCCTTCATGGTGAATAAAGCCAGCAAGAGCATACAGATCTTAACATTTAGTCAATGACTTGCAGTTGACCCCACTTGAGGACCAGAAGAAATTTCCTCAGAGTGATTTTAGTTAATTAACCCTTTACACCCTGTGTCACAACACGGTTAATCGCACATGAAAAACAACAGATGAGGCTTTTGCACAAAGGCAGCTTAGGTACTGCTTTACATTAAGGGAAATGCCACTTAAAATGCACAAACAACAGAAAACAAGTAGCAGAGGACACGTGCTATTTGCTATACTTTGTTACTGTTGACCTACTGATGCCAAATCCAATTTTGTGAACATACCATACATCATCTCCACAATGGTAAGGTTGAAGAGGTCTTGGAGCGCACGCAGACACAGTTTCCCGTCGCACAGCAGCACCGGCCTCCGCTCGTCAATAAAAACATTTTCTGACAACTGCTTCTGCGTGAGCATAAAGAAAGGAAATGTGATGGAAAGAGACATGCTCGTGGCTATTATTATATTAAAAAATGCAATATTCTTATTTAACAGACGTTAATTAAACACCGTACTTTAAATGTGTGCGCTCACGTCACATTGAATTGATTTTAAGTTCTTTAGCTGTCTTGTCTTAGCGTCTGTAGCAAGATTATTATTCCCGCACTGAACAATACAAACAGTGTAGATGATTTATGATATATTTATAATAGGCTATCAAACATAACACGTAAAACTGTACCTGGCATGTGACATTGACATACGGGGGTTCGCTGGCATTAGGGTAGACACTTGGGGCCTTTTTGCCATTCTGAGTGTAATCTCTGATTTCTGTCAGGCACTGCTGCACTTCTGCAAAGCGTGTAAAAAGTCTTTCCATGTTGTGAACGAGCTGCTCCAGCGCACGCTCCTTGGCCTTGCCGGGAGTCTTTTCAGGCATAGGCAGCGTCGGCTCTGTGTGCATCTTGTCAGATGGTTCGAAGCGAGGAGAACTGGCTCGGCTGGAATCTCTGCTGACCTGTCCGGCCACCGCCAGGCTGGCCATGCGGCTGATGTGGTCCATGTCAAAGTTTTCCACTGTAACTGAAGAGGCACTGGACAGGGCTCTGTCTGATAAGTCCACAGAGCTGGTGATGGGGCTGTGCTCGCTGCTTCTCACCTCCTCGACCAATCTTCGCCTGTTCCCCGGTGAGCAAACTACCCCCCTTCCAGGCAGTATCAAGTCTTTTATCCCTGGGCGCTCTCTGTCATCCTTTGACAGGTGCTCTGAGTGCCTCCTAATCCCTGTGCAGAAATTAGAGGTGGACTCATGGCTCTGAGCAGAGGAGGATGGTATGATAGGAGACATAGGCGACTCTCCATCGTAGATCAACTCTTTGGCTATGAGATGAAGAATATATTTGTCAGTGTTAGCAGATGGGAGGAAGGCGGGGTCGTTGGACTTCTGGCGACCCACCATCAACAGTAAAATCTTATCGCTGAGGAAACAGACTCCTTTGGGTCTCTCGTTCTGCTGCAGAGAGATCTGCTGTATGTTTGGCATCGTGGAGGCTGTGATGCAGTACACAAGAACCATGTTGCATGTGTTTGATGCAACAGCAACTGTGGAACCACGGGGATCAAAAGCCACAATGTCTGGGACCAAAATCCCTGGAATGCTGACTTTACGAGTGCTGGTGACCTTTCGCTCATAGGTAACCAGAATGAGGTGCGAGGAGTCCTGCCCGGAGCCTGTTACAGTGTCCCTGCGACGCAAATGGATAAGGGGGCTGGGGTCAGAGCGACGGTGTCTCGCCAGAAGATGGGTAATATCAAGAGGACCTGAGCTAGGGATGTAGGACCTTTCAGATTCGAAGGATCTTCTCCTCGAATCCAGAAGGCTGTCATCATCTGACATGTGAGAGCCATGGCCGTGCAGGGCCTCTGTCTCTGCTGGTACGTCAAACGCTATGCCAGAATTTAACCCACATAATTTATCCAGCGGCAGCTCCGTAGCCACAGCTACTTGAGCTTCCCCGGTGGCCTCAATGGCACAGATATAGCCTCCCACGTCAAAGATGGGACAGAAGGAACAGGCCACCAGACTCTTTTGGATGTCATTCCAGATGTAGGAGTGAAGGGCACTGCCTATAGCCACCACCAGGCGTGTGCCATCCTTAGTCCAGCATGCACAGTGGATGAGTCCACTACCTTTGATATCTGCTTTGATTCTTCTGTTGTCCACCCTGACAGAAAACAGCACAGAGGTGTCTCTCTTAGTCAGCACAGCAAGAATGTCCAGTTTAGGGTGCCAAACGCAGCCTTGTGAAAGCAAGGGGAAAGGCTCGCTCATCTCACAGGTCTGCGTGCACAGCAGCTTGTTCTGTTCAAGAGCACTGAGCTGCAGTTGCCACACGGTAACATGCTTCTTGTGCTGCACAGCCAGCAAGGCGGGAGAATCAGAGCAGCACAGGGGGCCCCAGAAGAGTCCGAAGACATGCTCAAACTGCCCGATGACGTTTGTGTCGCCAAACTTCACGTCGCCGTTGATAAAGTAGAGAGATGTTAGGCAGACTTGCTTGCCATCTGTCCAAGCAATCCCATGCACAGGGTGGATGGCTTGGTGCAGTGTGTTGAGACCTGTCCTGAGCAGCTTTGCCTTACCAAGATCCATCCTGGCAGGTATGAAGAAGCTTATCCAAAGAGAAAAAGAAAACAAAAGAGTCACAGCGTTAACATTGATAATAGAGTCCTGTATGTCTTCTAAATGGGTCTTGACGACGAGTGGCTATTGCTACCTATGCAGATTAAGAATAGCAAAAGCCTCTCTTGTCTCTCCTTCCAAGTACATGCTTTAATCCCTCTGTGCCTGAGGCAGTGGTGACGAACACCTATAGCTGCTTACGCCTGATGACCTTAACAACACACAGGCCCTTTAGGACCTAAGGGTATTAACATTAGTATGTGTTGAATAAGAGTGTCTCATTAAAGTATTTGTCTTTTTAGACTCTGACATGATTACAAAAAGTACATTAAGTCTTCAAATACACGTCATCAGAGAAAGAAAACTGTAACAGACTTAAAATGTAAACACCATTTTAACACTGGAGCACATTAAACACAATCAGATTCTTCAGAAAACAGATTTACTGTGTGGATTGATTACTGCACATCAGCTTAAAACGCGTAGACACAAACCACGAAAAGGAAAAATGCTCATTAATTCAATTAATAAACATTGGAAATCACTAGCGAGATTAACTTGCTGCTTCCCTTTAAAAAAATATATCGCGCAAACAGATAATTAAAGCTAGATTCGACACAAACATGAGTTTTAAAGCTCAGCATACCTTACAAAACTAAAAACATGTTCCAAGGAGCTCGTATAAAACAGTGAACATTAACTCTCATGTCAGCAAACTCACGTTTTACCGGTTAAAAATCGCCTCCAACGTTTCTTAGTACATGACACGGAAGCAAAACTACTCGACAGTTTCGGTGCATTGTGGGAGACGTAGTTCACTTTTAACAAGCGCTCTAGTTTTATATAGCCCGAATTAACAAAAAAAAAATTGGCTTACTTAGAGGGACTTGATAAACTTAATAAAGACTATGACAAACCAGAAAATGAAAATTCAACTGACATTAGACACTCGAGCTTTATCTCACCTCCAGGGGTCTGCAGGGCTGAAGACGACGTACGTAGTGGGGTTGTAGATCTCTACGCTGCCTCCCTGCGAAGTGGAAAATATCTTGGCTGTCTCACGGTTGGCTGTAGCTACCGCGGGTGGGTGAATGCCTGGTTTCTGTCGCTAAAGCCCGACTTGTAGCTGCAAAAGGGTAGAACTGGCTCTAAGAAAAAAAAGCTTTGTCGGCTGTATGCTTTATAGCTAATATTTGAAGCAGCACAACCATGGGCGTGGAGGTCGAGACGATATCTCCCGGTGATGGTAAGCGGATTTATTCGCCTATGTGTGCTTTGATGAGGGTTGGTGGTGCTGGTGTTGTCGGGGCACGGTAGTTCCCCGGAATGCCATTCAGATATTTTTAAATATTTACATTTTTTTTGTCAAGATTAATATTAAGATGTGTGCGACGCGAGTGAATATATCCAGTAGATATTTAGCAATTAACGGTAGTATGCTGCGGCTTTACCCTGTTTTGATCTTAGTTTAGTTTCTTCTTTTACAGTTTAAAATCACTGACGCCTGCACGGCATCTTTCTAGAACTCTCTATCCTGTGAAGTCAAACTCCATCCAGTGTTTAAAAATTGAGCATTGGCTTTCAAAATAATCGACACAGGCACGTAGGGAAACATTTGAAGAGTTACTCATGTGTAAGCAGTCAGTCAGCTCAAGAGTGAAAGACACAAAATCTAGGGCTGGGTAAGGCAGACTACAGTGTCCTTATAGGCACTGCTAAATTAAAGTGCATCTGATAGCTAATTACTCTACTATTTCTATTACTATGTAGGAAAAAAAATGCCTGCAGGCTAAAGTTACAGCATGAGGATGACAGATGCATATCTCACTTTAGTATGTCCGAAAGTGTAAAGAGGGTGCAACAGTACTGGCATCAGCACCCCACCAGACTGAACCTTGCATTTGCTAATGAGACTGCCAGTCTAATTACAAGATTAACCTGCCAGCCTCAGAGAGTATACAAACACACACTAACACTTGTTTTTTCTCTCTTTCATTAACAGGAAGAACATTTCCAAAGAAAGGCCAAACATGTGTTGTTCATTACATAGGTAACTTCCTTTCTCTTTCTTCTCTCTCTCCCCCCCTTTTTTCATTCTCTGCATTTTTTTCTGTCTTGGAGTCCATAAGGGGAAATATGTGCACAACACACCAAACTTTCAAAATACGCAAAATGCTCGTAACATTGTGTAACTGAGTGTTGGTTACACTTGCAAGTTGCCGACAGAACCAGAAAATACTGATTTTTTTTTGTTTTTGTTTTAGGGTGTGCTGACATGCACATATTCATTCAAATGGGCATGTTTTTCCTGTTTGTGTCTTGTCAGATTGCCAAGTTTTTAGGTGGGACAGTAAGACGCTGAGACTTTTGGGAAATGAATTTGGGTTGCTCTATGGCCTCGGGTTAGCAGACCACACAACTAGGTCAGACAGAAAGTAAATAAACCTCGCTGGCAGCTCGTCTGTTGACTGCCTGAGTATCACATGGTTATTATGTGGTTATAAATGCAATTGTACACACTCTGGCTATGGTCTGTGTAGTAAAGAGGGTTGGTTTCGAGTTTGTAAGTATTTATTTATTTTTATTGAACGTACACGTCCATGTAGTTCCATCTTGTAGCTTTGGGACTTCATTTTCATCATTTGAAATGGGTTAATGTGATTTTCCTAATCTACTGTAATACTAGCTGTATATCTTGATTGACCTATGCATAGTGTTTAACCTTATGTGAAAATTGCAGCTTTGTTTGACTAGTGTGTGTGTGTGTGTGTGTGTGTCATTAGAGACAAAACGATCCACAACAACTATGCCCTATACTGTACCTTATACTAGGATGTTGTGCTATAAACTCTTCTGGGGAAAGTTGGATTTGCCTTTAAGCCTAATTTCAGGTATCCCATTTTTTTGGCTGCTGCCTTATTTCCATTGAGTCGCCTAGTGGATGGATCTGCATGTTTGATGCAACCCTTCCATATATCTGCTTCAGTCTGGCCCTGCAAGTAGACTAGCTGGTGATCCCTCGAGGCTGGGTTTGTGTCTGGAACTGGGGATCCTTCATATGTCAGGCGAATGTAATCTTAATTTATACGTCTCAAATTGTGAAGCTAGGCTCTTGAGATGTGCCACATAGCATTCTAGAGTAAGGGTTTGATTGACACTTGGTGTCTCTGCTCCCCTCTACTGTTGAATACGCAGTTATGAACATGGGTGGATGGATATATTGTTACAATATTGAAAGCCAAAAATTAATTAAAAATTAATTCATTTGCCTGGTCCTGTTGCACTGCTCTATGCGTGAAACTCGTAATCGGACACACTGGAGGCTGAGCGGCCAGTCCATGCCAAGAATGGTAGAATTTGCCCAGTTCTGGTCCCTTGTTTCATTCGATTCGTGCATCAGAGTTTTGGGATTTAAAGGTGTCTAAACTTTGGGTTCTGGTGAGGTTGTTGACGTTTAGGTAATGCATCAAAACCCAGGATTATATAAAGAGCCTCCCAATACTAGGGCAAATAAAGTATTTCTAATCTTAAAGTAAGAATAATTTAGATCTGCAAATAATGCAGACCTTCTCTCGCTGTGAGCAAGAATTAAACATAGGGGATGAAAATGAGCACAATAGGTCCCCTTTAAGTTTTAAACTCCATCAAGACCGCACCACCTCTGCTGGATTGCACATATAAAAAAGCTTTTCCTTTTTCTGCTTTATTTCCTTTCTCCGTGTTGTTACCTGTTGCATTTTTTTATTTATAAGAGGGACAAATGTAAAGAATCCTGTCTGCAAAATCTACAAATGGTAAATCGACTGGGAATTACATGGTGCCTCTCTACTCAATTTGAGCACTCAAAGCACTTTCTATTACAAATCTCATCCTAATCACATATGCATCCATTGCTTTTATCCATACCTAACCACTTTACTACACATTCACGCTTCCATGAATGCATCAGGGGAAACTCAGAGTTCTGTATTTTGCCCAAGGATACTTTGACACTTGGACTGTAGGAGCTGGTGATGGACAGCCAGCTCTACCACTTGAGCCATAGCCACCCCCAACAATTAGCATGGGTACTCTTCTTTTTGTTACATTCGTCACCTATTTCATTGAGGTACTCCCCATCTTTTGTTTGTCTTTTTGTTTCGATTTACGCTAACTTACTCATAAGATGCTTATACTTATTGGAATACAACTCAAAAATACATAGTTGAGCCAAACTGAGGCTTCAATAAAGGAACGCCCAAAGAGCTATAAATACAGTTTTGTATAAATGCAGGAAGTGCATTTGCAAAATATATTTAAGGGTAGAGCTGAACTTGGTGATGAACACATGAAATTGGCTAAGAATGTGGTTTATGTAGATAATCTGGGAGTATTTGTATTGTAATCTGCAGAATTGATATAATGTGTTCCTCACATCAAGGTTTTTATGGACTCATAAACAAGTCTCCGATCCTATAGTGAGGGAGGAGGTTTTTTTTAATTTTTAATTTAATGAACTGTTATTATGTTAACCCAGTTAAATTTGATACATCGGTTCAACTAGTTTCAGGTAGTTATCAAGGGATTTGTAAGAAACTGAGGCAGGGAAGTTTTAAGATTATACTTCACAGTTTCAGTGCCCCAGAGGACAAGTGTTTTAATTAAAAGCTACACGACAAGATTAGCTGACACTCTGAAAAAAAGATAATGTTTGTAATACAGGTTGGTGTGGATTTGTAACATAAGTCAGCTGGCTCTCGGTGCAAAAACACAGACTGTACCCTCAACTCCACTCCACCCTCCCCTGGTGTTTTCCAGATAGCAAAGGCAAACAGTAAGAGTAAGGAGAGAGAGTGATTTCCCAGTACATATTGGGATATGAAGCCACTCTGCTGGAGAGGCTTTCTCACGCATTCTCTTAATGCTGTGCAATTTTTGACTCTCACTTTCACCTCTGGGATTTTGAAAATGCAGATGCACACATGCCAGAAGCACACAGACGCTCAGATATGCGAGCGACCTTCCTCTCACTCTGGTGAAAGTTGTAGCCACCCAAATTAGCAGAGTGGTCGTTGATGGCTCAGGCCTCCAATAATTTATCCTGTCTTGCATTCTTGTTTCTCTCATGGCTGACTGCAAGTCTGCTCACAGAGTGGCAGCTCTGTCAGCTGCAGTCCTGCAGTCTGAAGCTCATTTTGCTGCAAGAGGAAAATTAAAGCAGATCTGATGTCAGTCAACATGAGACAACAAAAGTAGCTCATGCGGTTTGAAGTTTGATGAAGTATGGCACTAAGCTACGAAGATGAATGGCATTGTAGCCTCTTTTGACATGAAGCTAGTGCTGCATGTGATGTCATTCCTAAATGTGGACATCATACCTTACCATGTTTGTCCTCCAGACTTTAGCATAAAACAGACAGAAACTGAGACCTCGCGGTTCTACGTGTTTGACCCAGAAATAGATCAAGCTGTGTGTCAGAAGATGCCAAAGTCTTCCTCCATGGGAGAGTGGTTGTTCATATAGTTGAGCAAACAATGGGAGGCTGATGTCCAGCTCCAAGATTAGTAGAAAGGCTTCTGCTGAAAATCATTGACTATTGGGTTGTCTGAGTGCTTCACAGGCTTTTTGCAACTTGTGTTATGAACATGGATCGAATATCTATGCAGTACCTACTTGGCAGGCAAGACTGGAGGAAAAGTGATATTAGAGCACATTATTATTTATCAAGTGAACTACTAGGCTCCACTAAAGATCTAGGACACTCCATATCTAGTTAGAAAAAAGCTCTTTTTGCACTTAATGATAGTATTAGAGTGACTTTT